AGCACAGCCTGCCATGCCTGAGCGGCCAGAGCCTGCCGCCGGGCTCCCCGCCACCCCGCGCCACTGAGCCAGCTGCGCGCTTGCTCGCCCGCCACCTGCCCGTTTCCCCTCTTCCTCCTCCTCCTCCTGCTGCTGCAGCCTGCTGAGCCTCTTCCCCTCTTCCTCGCCCTCTACCCGCTGGCCATGAACTTCCAGGGCGGGCCTGGGCAGAGCCCCGGGCAGCTGCCACCACTGCAGCAGAGCCGTCCACTCTATACAGTGAGTGGAAATGTTGCGGGGTCGTCTTATATAGCCGGTCACCTTATACGCCGGCAAATACAGTAGTTCAAAATATGTAATGCCTATGCCCTCAGAAACTTTACAAAGCATAAATGGGGGTTCTCTTCCATATTATTGGCAATCCTTTCCATTCAGTACCACCTGTAATGAGTCTTAAAGGTCCTTATGACCTCCTAGAGGCTGAATTCGAGATGTTGTATTTGGGGGCAGGTAGATTACTTTGATGCCTTCAGTACTGAACACATGTCCCTGGTACTAGGTTGCCAGACAAACCGTATTTTTTTGAATATTTATTGATTGAATAAAAATCCACGTATAACCAAAACTGTGCTAATCTGAGATGTGCAATTCAAGGAGAAAGTGTATAATCAAACTCACTTTAATTTCTGTCCATTTCTTTGCCTGACACTTGTGCTTCTCAGGGTGCCATGAGCCAGAAATGTCTAGTTGTTCATTCCCACCAATGCTATTTTCCTCTCACTAACATTGACAGCTGCGGCTAACACAGTAGCATTGTCTGGTAGTGTACTGGGTGGCTCTCTGAGCAAGCACAGCAAAATGATAAAGGGAAGATGTATAGAAAAAGCTTTGCAGTGCAAGGACTATTGCGTCCCTTTGGTCACCTAGATTGGCAGCCATTTTGTCACTCCTCAGGACTCAGTTTCAGGCAAACCTGCTCTGTCTTAGTATTTGCCCCCTCCCCGAAAAAAAAGAAAACACCTGGGATCCTTTTACAGGTCTCCATCCTCTTCCCTCCTAGCAAGTACCAGCCACCATCCCAGCCATCTCAGTTGCAGTTCAGCAAATCTCTGAAGCCAACTGACAGGCATGCCAGCAGTTGCCTTTGGATGCTCTGTTGCCATGCATGCTCATGCATGGCAACACGGATTTAACTGGGGCAAAGAGCCTACACTAACCTAGCACCCATGCTGTGAATTAAACATGTCCTTCAAAACAGAGTGATTTGCACTTATTAGTACTGATCTGAAGTAGGGGAACAAGAAGATTCCCATTGGCCAGAAAGCTTGGGGTTTCATTTCAGCAGGTTTTCAGCATGGGGATGCAAACAAAGGCAAAAGTGTCTGAAAGCACAGTTTCCTACAAAGCATCTGACCACAGTTTTCTGCCTGTGCTCTAAGTTGATAATATCACCATATGCATGCCTAACACCGACTGGTGTCATGCTGTGATTTTCACAACAGTGTCTCTCATTAGTTAGAACCCAGTTTAGAATCCATGAGGAAAAAGGAATGAAAGATCATCCACTGAGGGGGCAAAAACCTGAGAATCAAGGCAAAGAATGGGAAGATCTAAGTGAACATAAAATCCCTGGGAAATCCACCCATTTCATGAGAAAATACTAGAAGACTATTTGGCACAGCACAAAAAAGAGAGAGATTGTACAATTGCTTCACAACACATCTCCTATCTAGGATATAATAACCCCTTTACTCACTTTATCACCCTAACCCTTTCCTATACTAAAATACACTGACATTTATAAAAATCATTTAATGAAAGCTCATAGCGATAATCACTACACAACCATGTTACAAACATCTTAGATATATTTCAATTGATAATGGCGCAGCTAAAAAAATCTTGTAAATAAAAAATTAAATGTTCTGTGTTATTGTGTTATAGCAGCTGTCCAAACCTTGAAACTGCTATCAACATCCACAACAACAGGATGCTGAAAATCCATAATACATGTGGAGAATTTCAAATATGCCACAGAACTGGGACAGTGAACAGAGATAATCTCAGGTTAAGTGGTGATATAATATCCACAATCCAAAAATTTCAGATACAGTATTTAATGTTACAAAGACTTGCAACATCACTTTGGGATTACTGAAAATCTTCAAAAATAAATTCACTGTGAAACAGACATTTCACAAAGTTCTAAACAGTCTTCTCACCTAGTTCTATCATGCTTCCAGTACTTTTACTAGATTTGTGTTCTTTCAGCTGTCTGTATACCATTTTGACATATGGGCAAGAGAAACAACTCATAAATTGTATGACCTGAATCAATATGCATTCGCTTTGTCACCATGCCAGTTTGGTCACGTGAAATGGCTTTAAACAAGGCCTATGCATACAGATAAAATAGCTGATGTAGTTAGAGACAGCGAATCCATTGTGGCTGCCACAACTTAAAAACTAATCAACTTGGTTTTCATAATACAAAGAACAGATCATTTATAATAGCTCAAAAAACAAAGATATTATACCACAGAAAAGGGAATGCCCAAAAATATTCTTCAGTATCCTCTTTTAATACTAGCTGCTTGCTATGAATTCATAGCAAGCAGCCCTTCTTATTTAATTATCAACTTATTTACGGTATATCCTTCCCTATGTCTAAGAAGTGGGGTTCAAGAAAAAAAACATAACCAAACAATTTAAAACTATTTAGAACAGCGTAAATAACTTGAGGTATTTTAAAATAATGCATTCTTCTCTATATTTATATAGCAATTAGGTCTTCCAGCAAACTTTTATACCAAATCTGTACCCATATCTACTCAAGCAATGTAGTCAAAGCCCAAAACAACACCAACTATGTCCTCAAGGGTTCATTTAACTACATTCAACCATGTCATCAAGGGTTCATTCAATGAGAATGTGCAGCAACCGGAAGATGACATGACTATGTTTGAATAAATGTAGATTGTTGTACATGAAAAGAATAAGACACCCCCCGAAAATGAGCCCTAATGCGTTTTTTGACACCCCCCAAAAAATAAGCCCTAATGCGGTTTTTTTTTTTTTTTGGAGCAAAAAATAATATAAGACCCTGTCTTATTTTCAGGGAAACAGGGTAGTACACACAGAATAAATTTATGTGTTTGGATAAGGCTGCTGAGAGAGAGATTGAGATCCTGGTTGCAGGGGACGTGTTTGCCAGCACAGCAGAATTTCAGCCATTCTCCTAGCTGCAATGAAGCTCTGGTCTTGGTTTTTTTTTACTGCAAACGTGGGTATCTTTGAGGCTACAGATGGTACAAAGAGCCAGAATGATACACTGAATGGAGTTTCTGATTCTGACAAGGTGGGCCTGGGTTCAAATCCCGGCTCCCTGACTGAGGCTCATGGGTGACACTGGACCCCTTGGATTGCAGTAATCCAGTCGGGTTGTAATTAAGGCATGTGTCACCATGGCCAGATCAGACCTCTCAAGAAACTGTTGCAGCTGGTGCACTAGTTTTTAATTGTGAAAATGTATTCCTGGCCATTGCCATAACCCGGGTATGTAGGCTCAGAGATGAATCCAGGAACATCCCCAAACTGTGCGCCAGTGGTTTCAGAGGAAGTGTAATCCCATGTAGTACAGGCTGCATTCCTATTCCTTGATCTGCCTTTCGATCAATGCCCCCAATTGGGCTACAAGGAAGAAAATCTGCTATCCAGCCCCTCCCACAAACTCTTTCAAAGGAAGGAAAGCTACAAATGTCATTGCTCCAAAATCAAAATGCAAGTTAACCTATACAGTTCTCTTTTTAAAAATATTGAAAATATCAAGTTTGTCTTGTACATTAAAGAAGTTTCAACTGGACTACTAGTAGTTAAAAAGTATACTAACCTTATTACCCTGAAAGGCCCATCCTTTGAAAAACTTCAGCCTAAATTGTGACCTTAAGTTTGAAACTTCAATGCCTCTAAAAGATTTTGCCTAGGAAGTGCAAAACTGACTTTGGCCAAAAGAAGTTTGTTCTTCCCCCATATGGGATGCAGGCTTTCCTACCAAAGCCAACGCTTCTTCAGCAAAGAAGATGTTCAGTAAATCAACATTTACATCTAACACTTTTATTAGAGTAAATTATTTCTTTCCAC